GCTTGGATTTCTGCTAATACTGCTTTGCATCATTCAAGTAAGCAAATTATAAAAATAAATTCAATAATGTTTTTGCTTAAAATGAATGATGTAGCCCCATTTGTGCTAATGAAAATAAATGATAAATAAGGTGTCAGTCCTCATTTAACAAGCAACTACTGGAATGCAATTTCTGTGCTCATTGAGGCAGCAAAATTATTGGAAATTAACCATATTTGAAAAATAAATGTCTTGCTAAATATTGTGTCCCATTAAAACAAATGTTTCTTGGAGCAAAAGTGAAAATTTTATAAATTTCATTGTTTTTACCTGCTTTATTTTCACATTATTTTCTTCATGCTGTGTTTTTGTTGCAGTTTAAAGCATGTCATTAGACATCAAAGGCAAAGAACTAGCTGTTATGATGCTAAGACATTTGCCATGCAGTGCAAAAGACACTCACAGCTCAGTCTTTTTGTTGAACAAATCTCCATGTGTGATGCCTCATATATTATCCCTTCTTGACAGTGGTTCTGATGTGGTGCAAGAAGTGCCAGCTAGTCACTAAGCCACATTTAACTTGGTCGTAAAGTATGTTAATCATAATTGATTATAGAAGTGTTTAAATTCCATAAAACCAGTAAACAGACAATCGAAATGCTGCCATTTTTGAGCACATCTGTTTCTTTGTCCATTAATTGTCACTTGATGACTTTACAGAAGTTGTTGTCATGTCGGATAAAACAGAAACAGTAAATTATCAAGACATCGCTCCAAGTAGTAATTATTTTTGAGTTTTTTTTTTTAAAAAAAGCTTCTGAACCATGAACAGTCCTGTCTTCTCTTCCTCACCAAGCCCTCCCACTTCTTCCATCTCTGTCTCTGCCAATTATTTGAGCTTTTAAATGCTATTCCAGAGGATAGGCACAGACAAAAGACAACCCCACCACCATCACCCACACGCCCACAAAAAAGTGACATCCAGAGCACAGATCTCCTTGGTGATAAAGGGCAATTGTTTTCCAGCAGAACAATTGCTGATTTAAGGTGGCCTAAAAAGATTTGAACCCCATCTCCAATAAGTCTGAGGATACAGCCATCAGCAGTTTTGATACGTCTATCTGTCCCATGAATTTATTAAATAGGGGAGGGTTATCTGAGGATAAAGACACAATTAACCTATCTGCTTCTGATAAGTGCAATAATGGCACTGACTTTTATCTGCAGAAGTTCTTTAGGGGCGCTCTTCAAATACACATTATTATACATGCGTAGTTAACAGCAACAAATAAAGTGCAGTACTGATTACACAAGACTATGAACAACGAAAGTGCCTGAAGAGGTGACACTGCCTTTGCGTCGATGTGTTACTGTTTATCTGACTCAGTTTTATCTAAATTTAGAAACAGATCGAATTTGTTTACAGGCATGTGTGTTGCATGTTTTAAATACGAAGTGCCCTGAAGTAATCAGTACGACTAATACCCATATTTACATTTGAACAAGCAAATTGTGATTTTAAGAAAGTTGAGGAGCGCTATAAACATTTTCAAAAAATGTTGAAAAGCCTTAGGTTCCTACTCCATGTTTCTGCCTATTTCAGAATATCTCTTCGCCGAATCGACATTTAATCTGTTTAGCATCTTTCTGTGCTTTTACACAGCAGGTGTCTCGCTGGCTTTTATACCTTTGCTTGAGGTGCTCCAGCTAAAATTTTAAATAATAGATGGAGGTGCAGATAAAATCTGTCTGTATTTGACAACCAGATACAGAAGATGAGCTAAAAGAGGAAGTGCTTTCCTAATGTAACTGGTTACAGTGATTTACTTTGAGATTTTACCTTGTTGCTCTTCCTGTTTGGTGAGTAAGCAGTATTCAGCACAGAATGTTGCAACATTGAGAGGAGCATGGCGTGACATGCCCCCAATATATTTTGGGTAGTGCTTCTGTTGCAAGATGACTTTCATTTTTCTGTTCATATTGTTCAATACTCATTCCAAAGAATAAACTCTTATGTTTTATTCATTGCTTTTCTGAGTATTTCCATTAAAGTCTCCACTGTTACCAGTTTTCAATTCAAGAAGATATTCAAAATGTAGGTATTGACAGAGTATTTTTATCAAAAACAAATTTGGTTTTAAGATACTATCACAGTAAATGTCATGAAAGTTGCAATTAAAAGGTATCATGTTTTCTTCTAATTTAGTGTGGAAAAAACAGTGAGGAAAAAAAACTATTCAAATTAAGTATCAACAACTTAAATCTACGTTTTCTCTTTTGCCGTTAGCATTGGTTTTTCCCTAAAGAAGTTCAGCAGCCAAGTTGCAACTCAACGTGAGGAGTTCTGAGATGCTATCCTTTATAATTTCATGCTTTGTAAATTTTTTTAATTATCTCCAGCAGCCGAGTTAAGTAAACACATTTTGCAGAGGGCATTTGGACCCCTCGCTTCCCTTTCTTCAAGAAAGAAGGCGATTTTTTAAAATTGTTTGTTAGATTTCCTGTGAGATTAAAAGCTAAAACTGTAATCACAACCAATTCTCAATCTACTGCAGCCTAAAGTGTTAGAAATCCACTTAGAAGGCCATCAGTTTCAGTATATCTAGGCAACACTGAGAAGCAATGCTCTTTAAGTGAAAGAACAATCCTGAAGATGTCTGAGTAGTACTGTCGTCCTAAACTAAATATTTTCTTTTACATTAGGGAAAGCAAAAGCAAACAGCAAATAGAAGAAAAAGTAGAAAAAGGGGGAAAAAAAGATAATTGCCTTCTCCATCCAGTCTAAAGTGTGGTCTATTTGTCCATAGATAAATACACTTGAACATTATCAGGCCATTCAATCTGCAAACGGAGGTGGTTTCCACACATTCACTGCAGTCATGGAGTTTTCTCGAAATGCTCCTCAGGGATTGCAGCCACTGTATGTTCTGAATGCAAATGTCTGCATTCCAGACTTCTCAAAGAGATTTTCCCTGCAGCACCCTATGCAAAAACCTCTTCAATATAGCTAGGTGATAAAATGTGCAAATACAGCAGTTACACTTATGAAGCATTTAATATGGGCCAGTGTGCAAATGTATTTATAGGTTTCTGGATTGTGTATTTCCTGTGGGTTGTACCTCACTTGTTTATGCTGTGCACATATTATGTCATATGTGATATTGGTATGAATATAGGACAGACTACTTCTATTGTGATGTAAAGAACATAGAAGTTTCCACAGCTTCATTTTTGCATTATGTCCTTCCTTTAAGGATCCATAAGGGACGCCATTGCCTGCATGTTTTCTGCTTTAAAATACCAGGAATTAATGAATGAATAGCTTCTTCTGCTTGTCATCAAGTTCTGCAATAGTCATGAATGACTCAATCATTTATTTGGCTGCGGTTATTCAGGTAAATGTCTAAACCAGGATCTGAGGACCAGGATCAGTACCTGCTTCTCTAGAGGAACCTTCCACTGCATGCTCTTGATCTTCTTCCCTAAACATTTTTCTGACCTTGTTTAAAAATGTAAATGTTTATATCCATAAATAAATCTGTATGCATCTGCAAGGATGAGTACACACATCCTATGCAAAACATTTATTGGTTAATTTACTATTGTTTACTTTGCAGCTGGAGCTTCTTTAATTAGCTAAACGTGTCTTTGTGGTGAAGCTTTCTATACATGAGTAAACAGACTTTTAAACGTTTCCCAAAATGACAACAAATCAAGACAAAAATCATCACTTCACCTTCTCATCCTCTGGATGTCACAGGCATGCGACTAACCCTGGGAACTGGCAGGAAGAGAGTTCACTTAAAATAGGTAGGCTTTGTTTTCAGTTTTTATTATTTAGTGTAATTTGTAACAAATAGCCTATGTGGGCATGTATATACGTGTGGGTCAGATGTGCTGCTTTCGAGCGGCATGCGTATCACGCTCAGGTGGCCTGTTTGTGTGGGGCAGGAACTGACTGTCTTGTACTCGGTGCCACATCGCTGTTTTTGTGTGCCATTTGCACCACACACATGTGGCCTGTGTTTGTGTGGGTCGGATGCATTGTGTGGGCTTTGTATGCCACGCACATTATGCGAGTTAGGGATGTGGTTGTATTTGTGTGGGTGAGGTGCAGTGATGGTTTTTGTGCATGCCCTCCAATAACATCCCTGGCCTCACACACACACACGCACTCCCCCCTCACTCCCCCCCAAACAAACACACACACACACACTTCCTCAGCCTCTCTTTCATTGTCATCCCAATGTCACTTTCGTCTTTCTCTTGAGCTTGTGCTGAACTCTTCATCACGCAGCAGTCCAACTTTTTGAAAAACATTGTTAAAAAAAAATAACAAGCATCAACTGCATCACAGTATTCAAAGTGTGTGAAAAAGTAGTTGCTTATAGTCCAGAAATTAAAGTACAAATAAAATTATAAAAAGTGTACATTTGTGTTTAACTTCTATTAGTCTGATACTCCAAAATAAATACTGTTCGTCATAATTTGACGAAAGATTTTTTTTCCGTCAAACTACTTTTCATTCAGAGCTTTGTTTGTGTTGACATGTGGCATGTTCATTTCAAACTGTAAATGAAATTAACAAATAAATCACCTATTTGTAAAGACAGTCCACTTAGTTGCAATTCAGTCCCATAAATCCAGCTGACTGTGAAGGGTTCAGAAAACATTAATGAATAACCAGTTTTATGAAGACATGTTAAAGAGATAAAGTTGTGGAGAAGCAGCTAACAAGAAGAGTTAGGTGAGAGATGAGTAAAAAAAAGAATTTTTAGCGGTACTTCAACAATGGTAAATTGATGATCAGATTTCCTAAATCTGTTAGAAGAAAATCTGTTAGATACCACAAAAAAATGCTGAGTTGCAAACTGGTCATAGAAGTACATAAATATATATGTTTTGAATTTCTGATTATTACCTCTTGTAATCAGCTGGCAGTAATGCATTCATAAAACATGCAAAGCACCAAATATCTTCCACCAAGTACCAAGATACTAAATAGTTATGTTAGATCTTTATTCCTGAATAGATCAGTTATTTTACAATGTCTTTGATGCATTTAGAGAAAATCAGATTTTATGGCACAGATCAAGAAAACAAAACAATCATAGGGGGTGTGGTAGACCCTGTGGCTGTAGGTTGTAGTTTTTATAATATTATTGCTTTTATCACAAAGGAGGAATATTATGGTCCCTAAAAACAAAGATTATTTAATTTTTTTTAACAGGCCCACCAAATCTAACCAGTAACACATAAGTTGAAAGTCTAATGGTGCCCTTGTTAAAGCAGCACTGGCTTACTTAAGATTGCATTTTGGTACATGATGAGACAAGAAAGGCTTTCTAACATCTTAAGGATTTATATGACTGTTTTGTGCTTATCGGTTAGAGCTATAGAGTATTTCAACTTAAGTGTTACATCAATAAGCAAGTGAAAATTGTGTATCGTTGTGCCCAGTTTTACTGATGCTAATAACGCATTTGTAAATATAGTATGCATCATCTAGCAGCACTTTCTGTATTCAGTCAGATAAAATCTGTAAAGCGCACATGGTAAAATAGTCTGTATATGAAATACCAAAAATACAGTTGTGAACAAACATGAAAATGGGAGCAAGGTAATATAGTTAAGGCTAAACATCTTTGTCTATTACCTTTGTATAGCTAAGTCAGTAAGAGGAGCATGCAACCAATGTAACATTGCCACAATTACAGTAAACAACAAAAGCAATCAACTCAAAACAAACATGTGCCTTTCTTCACTACAGATTAGAACCAGTGTAATGTAAGTTTTCAGTGGTGTAAATCATATGGCTTTGTGCAATTGTCCACTGTCTGTAAATTCACTAATGAATTTTTTTTTTTTTTTTTTGGTCTTTGTTTTGTGAAATCAACAAACTGTCATGCCAGAAACTGAGAATCGGTTCTACATGCGTCGCTTCTTACATGCCAAATTGTGCTAATAGTACATCATCCTAAAAAAACAAAAACAAAACAAAACAAAAAAAAAAACAGAAAGAGAAAGAAACATGAATAAATCTGAGGTCTTTCATTAGAGCAAGAATACTTACATCCAGGGACAAAGGTGCTCGTTTCCATCCCCCTAATTTATATAAGGTATTTGTGCAAGTATTCTACAGCTCCTTTAATATAAGAATATTGTCCGTGAATAAATACGGAATAGAACAAGGATTTCAGGTTCAGAAAAAAAAGGAGTTAGCAGGAGTTTAAATTTGTTGTGTGCTTTATGTAAAGCGATCTGAGTTCATTTTCCTAAGTTTGGGTGGCAAGTGTCCGTCCATCCTCCCGCCTCCTCCCCCAGCTAGTCGCTGCAGCTTCGGGGGCAAGTCCGCCACCGACTTACTGATGGGCTCTGTGTTGATCTTGGCCTTCCCAGCCTGTTTGTCATCAGAGACACCGGGGACCGAACTGATTCGCTGCAGCTTCATGGGCAGGTCTCCGAAGCTGTAAGTCATCTCTGAGGTGGTAGAACTCATCCTCAACAGCTTCTTGGGCAGACCGTCCCGGCCCGTGATCTTCTGCAGCTTGGTAGGCAGCTTGGTGGTGCTGTCATTGTCCTCAAGCGTCTCCAGGCAGTCCAGGGAGCTGTTTTTCTCCCCACTGTTGCACAGGGAGGGCGCCATGAGGGGCGAGGATAGAAGGAGGGCCTCCTCTTGCTCTTTCACGCTATAAGGAGGAGTTGGCACCTCAAAGGTGGCATGAAACTGAGAGTAGTCCACCTTGAAGAAGCCCTCCTCCAAGGAGATGACAGGAAAGAACCGGTGTCCCCAGAGAACTTCGTCCTCCGTGTACGATGTCCTCGCCTGGCAGGTCATCCCTGCCAGAGAAACACAAGAAACTTTAAGGTTCTGGAATCATATAAATGAACTTCTTCCCTGTGCAAATAAAGCAGCATTGAAATGCTCTGTGGCTCCGATGTGAAACAATGAGGCTCTGATTCAATTATGTGCTTGGCGCCGTACCATAAAATCAATAATATTTCCAGCATTCATGCTATTTTTAGATTACAAAGCAAACAATATTGTAAACATAACAGCCTCATCGAAGAAACATTTATTGCATTACAGAGCCAGCTCCCTGAATAATAAGCCTAATTGATTTTTTATTTTTTTGCACGTGATGTTTGCGAGCACGTTCCAGGCTAATTTGAAAAATAATTAAAAGTTATTTGCTGTGTGAGTTTGATATGAATTAGAAAATATTTAATCCTGAAAGCCTCAATTAATTTTGACACAAAAGCTAAGAAAAAACTGGAAGCATATTTGTCATGCAGTTATGAAACAGTACTAAACTTGATATTAGCACTTGAGTCCATTATTCATTCAGATTCTTCAGTGTGCCTTTTAGTTCTACAAACAGTGCCCAGTCCAAGATAATTAAAGCATTTTATCGAGATTTTACATGGAAGGCCTATGCAACGATATGCAAATTACCAAAGGAAATCTGAAAAGATGTTTTGTGAGCACCAAAGATCCACAGCTCAGGCAGGACAAGCTGTCAATAAGTCAACTGTTAGCTATGAGCTCCACAAATTGGTATTGACACAAAATTGGCAAGAAAACAGAAATGTATTGAAAGAAAGCTTTGAGAAGTCCTGCTAGCAGTTCATATAGAGCACAAAAAAACACAATGAAAAAAGGTGCTCTGGTAGATGAAACCAAAATGAAACTTTAGAGCTGCAGACCAAATCTTTGTTCGGTGTAAAATTAACACTGCACATCTCCATGAACCCCTCTTCTCAGTGGTGAAACATGGTACTGGCAGCATTAGGATATGGGGTTGCTTTTCTTCAGTAGAGCTAGAAAAGCCGGTCAATGTTGAGGGCAAAAAGAAGTGTACTAAATAAAGGGATTTCAAGAAGAAATTGAACAAAATAATAGGCAAAGGAATTTCAGTCTCTGAATGTGTAGGTAAAGAGACACCCTAAAAGATTTACAGCTGCAAAGTTAAGGGCTGAATGTCACGCTTTTGTAACAACATAAAATATGAAGAAGTATGAATAACTTTGCTTTGGAGTGTTACAGGTTAAGGCTTACCCACTGTGTAAAAATAAAAAGTTTCATTTTGTGATATTAAAGTAAAGAAACAAGGTTCTCAGAAGAAAAAAAATTAACTGCAGAAACAAATTTTTGGTATGGAAGGCGATTCTCCTCACATCACCTTTTATGCTACTTGCTTTTTCAGTTCACATCGTAAGCTTGGCTTCTAGCTACAAAAGATGAAGGATTAAGATAGTCAGTATTCCCTGTGAGAACTACATTATCACAGAACATGTCCACAGGAAAACATTTAACTTTCTTTGATGCAACAAAGGCAAATCAACTCATGCAAAAGCCTTTCAAATATAGACTAGGCATTTTTGCATATCCAGTGAAATATTTTGGGTTAAATTGTTCAATTGTGTCCATTTTGAAGAACAAATTGAAAACAAAACATCCTGTTTTGCATCTGCTGGTTGTTTCATCTGAGTGTTTATGTCTGCTCCAAATCACACCATGATAAATTTGGAATAAATGCTCCCCCTGTGAAGAGACATTTATTCCATTAAACCCCTGCGTCAAACCGCCCTTCATATCCACAAAAGGAAATTAATACAGTTAGCAAACCCTGTCTTTAAAATTAGTCAACAGAAACATCTTTTCATGCAAACTTATTGGAGGCTTGTTAGTGATTACTCATCAATGATAGTCAGCAGCTCCTGTTGTAGCTGTCTAACATTACACACTGCTGCGAATTTCATAATATTAACATTCAGCTGTAAAAATCTGTTTTAGCATCTAGCAGAAAACCAGCAATGGATTCTAAAAGTGCTATTATATCATCCCCATTACAAGTGGATGTTTTGCCTTTTTTACTTCTTGAATAAAAAACATGTTTGTATCTCTACCTTTAAAATGCACAACATGTGCATCAAAAATTTACTGTTTCAATGATCAGTGTTATTAATGTATTGTATGTCTTTTCATAAAGCTTATATGACATCAAAGCTTTTTATCATCCAATCTTCTAAGTATTACACACATATCTGTTTTTTGTTCAATAGAAATCATTTTATTTTTTCGTTCCAATTTTATAAACAAGTGCAGTTTCGAATTCTACCTCAGGTTTACGCACATTGGGTAAACAATCCACCTACATTTAGCATAGTTGTGTGATGCAAGACTGTATTATGCAATAGCTAGCACTGTCTATACAAGAAAACCTAGAAGGAAAGTTGGACAAAACATTTTCTTCCTCTTGAGCAGGTGAATATAAAGTATATCAAATATATAACATACTTTCTCATTTGGTTTCACTATAACACAGTAGTAGTTTCATACAAGTTTGTATAATAGTAATAATAAAGCAAAGTCTATGTCACACAACTGTATTGTGGTCATTTGTGAGGTATGTAAATGTGGAAATGGTAATTATCAGAGGTGTAGATTCAAGTCATGTGCCTTGGATTTGAGTCAGACTTGAAACACAAATTTTACGATTTTCAACTTGGCTTGATGAAATCATAGAAGAGATTGGACTTGAATCTGACATTAATACCAATGCCTCATAACTCCACTTATATTTGATCCCCATGGCTCAAAAAGACTTTATGTCTTCCACCAAACATAATGTGTATTTCAAGGGAAAAATGCGGGGAATGCCAAGAGGGAAGCGTGTGAAACGTGTGATCCAGCCCGCTGTGAACTCGCCACCATTTAGAAATATTTCTTCCTCTTTCTGCTACAACAAGCACTCTGCATCTACCATGCTGTTTACCTGCTTTTCTTCTCCATCCTAGGATGAGAGAGCAATGTCTCTGTGGGTGGTAGAAAGGTCCTGCAACCCACGTTATCAGGAAGGTGTGCACAAAGTTGGAAAAAGACAAAAATAGCTGTATGCAGCATTGCTTTGTGCCATGATATTAAAACGCTTTAAGTAAGATTTTACATTCAGACACAAGCGATTGTCTGAATTGTCTGCCTGATGATTCAGCTCATTACAACAGACCTGAATTGATCAAAGGTGTTTGGAAAGCTGTGAACTCTTCTTTAACATGAAAAATGTTAAATGTTAATAAAAATAAATAAAACAAAGATAAAGACAAATCAAGACATATTAGTATTTACATTCTTGTGCTCTTTTTCTTATTATTTCAGTTTAATCAGTGTCACAAAGGCAATGCTTCAGTAGTACAGTTAGATTATATGATACTGTTATTATCTATCTATCTATCTATCTATCTATCTATCTATCTATCTATCTATCTATCTATCTATCTATCTATCTATCTATCTATCTATCTATCTATCTATCTATCTATCTATCTATCTATCTATCTATCTATCTATATACAAACTTGTAAGATTCAATTTGTTTAAATAAGAGGGGCGAGAATATATTGTATGGTTTATCATTTGTCATTTCTTATGAGATTTTTGTTCATCATGTTCACATTAAATTAAAAAAAATCTATATCTATATAAAAAAAAAATCTAATATTATCTGTTTTATCCAAATTGTAAATTGTTACTATTTTTCTCCACAGTTTGTTCAATAAAGGTGCATCATTAAATATCAAAAACATTTGAAATATAATTAAACACACTTATTTTGTCCAATTCAGAGGAACAATTCTCCCTTTGTTTATCATTAATTTCTGTAATCCCCATAAAAAAACACAAATGTGAACAATTCTATATTATTGATACATTGTTTATTTATATTTTATTATTATTTATGCATAATGAAATTTGTTTGCACATGCTACTAATACATTTTAGTAACAAAACTGAAGTAGAAAAGTGTCTTGCTGACTTTCTACAAGGTATTAATATATATTGAATGCTAAGATTTTGAAACATCGGCTTTGGTTGAAGCAGTTGTGTTTGATGTAATGTGAAAACATCGTTGAACAGAAGTTGACTCATTTACAAGGTGAAGAATGTGGCTTAAATTGTTAAACAAAATAAATATTTCTTTTTGAGGACATTCATCTCACATTAATCCAATTAATCAAATTTTTGGTCATTATCTCTAGTTTAATTGGAACCTAATATTGTTTGTCCAGACATTTGGTTCCCAAAACTGAGGAGCACTTGTTTACTGTGAGACACTGCTGCTGACAGCCAGAGTGTCATCATCCAAACTAGAAGCATCTGCAATTCCGCCTGATTCCCAGTGCCGTGAGATAATTCACTGATCACAACCCTGCACACAATCACAGATGTGCAGGAGACTGAACATCAAGTGCGTTTGGGGTATTCACGATATTACTTCAGCTCTATTGCTTCAAAGTCCCAGTGCCTTTAGGCTCATGCAAGCGTGCTGTGGCGAATGAAGCGGGCAAAGCTAATGTGAACTTGAGGGCCAAAGCGTTTGAGAGTTAAGCGTGAATGGAAATCCTATTCCATAGTGAGCCTGTTAAACAGCTTCCAGCCAAAACATTGTCGCCATCAACACGTGGTCACGGCGTACCAAATCTGAGGAGATTTTATCAACAAAAATGTCATTTTTATAGGCTTGGAACACCGACCTAATCACCAACAAAAGTTATCTGCTTTATTGAACACTAGACTCAATGATGCAATGCTAAGCTGAAATCGATACTGTAAATACATGGCTGCAATATTAAAAACACCTTAACTCATGTATTACAAGCAATAAAGCTGTAAATTGATACTATGCCTGAGGCAAAATATTGTACCGTAATACACAGCACTCTGATAGTTTCATCTTACATCTATTGATAATGCGCTGCTGGTCCTGCAGATGATGCAGGAGTTACTGTAAGACCTCTGTCTCCTTTGTGAAACCTTGCCTCCGGTTTCAGTTTACTCC